TACTTTTTCAGCTCCCGAGCTAGCCATTTTTCCACCAAAAATTTCCACGGGGCTGTATGTAAGAGCCACGCATGGCTGGGGGCTGAATTCGATAAATTTCAGCTGTACACGAAGTGGGAACATCTCCTTAAAGATTCAGCTTTCTAGATTTCTTGAATTCCAATTTAGCGATTTTCCCGCCAGGAAACTTCACGGGAGCGTGCGTGAGAAACACTCATGTTCGGAGGCTGAATTTGAAATCTTTGAGTTCTATGTGGATGGTGAACATAACTGCAAAATTTTAGCTTTCTAGCTTTTCTTGTTCCCAAGTTAGCGATTCTCCCGCCAAAACTTTGAAGCGCTTGTACGCGAGGCCTAAACATGCATGACGGTCGGTATCGCAGCCCTTGTAAGGGAAACCCATTGACAAAATTTTGGCGCCGGAGCTTGCTTGGGTGCCCAGTTGAAATACTCGGAGAGATGCAAATATAAATGCACGTACATACATATACATACACACGCGCACACGCACGCGCACAAGCACACACGGGGCCGTCACAATATGCGTTTTTATGCGTTTTTGCTGGCAGCGCTACAGCCAGTAAAAACGCATATTGTCAAGAGGCTGTCTGTGTGTGTATGTGTGTGCGTGTGGAAAGCGAGTGCATTTTGTCACCCACTTTCATCTCAGCAACCAGAAAAGCTGGAAGGCTGAAACTTTGGGCATATATTCCTACCCGGTTTTTCATCCTCCCGTTTTAAGATATTGCCCCATACGCGCCTAAACCCCGCGTACGATGCCCGCAAAGAAATTTGTTGGCGGGAAACGATTTCACGAACCAGGCAAGGTAGAAAGCTAAAACTTTGCAGGGATATTCTCTATGCACGTGGGAGCTAAAAATTTTAAACTCAGTTGTCCAGCCTCCGACCACAGCCTGAAGCAGCTCCTCAACCCAAAAATCGTTCGCATCTCGGGTCTGAACAGCAATCGTAAATGCAAGTGAACATGGATTTTTTGACAAACGACCGTTTGAGCAACAGTTTCAATTTTTCAAAGAACTGGAAATTTGCATTTTTTCAAAAAATTTGTATTTTTCATTATTTCACAAGGCGAGTATTTATCGAAAAAACGATCAGATTGCATGCAAAAAACCAGTAATCATGCACCTGGATGTCCTTTCGGCTATATAATGCACCACCTTCATCCCAACTGATGCCCTTCCTCCTGCATGCCAGAAAGGATCAAAGCACG